CTCCGGCGCCGCCGCGGGCTCGGCCGGGGCCGCCTCCTCCTCCTCGTCCTCCTCCTCCTCCCCGGGGGGGCCGGGCTGGGCCGGGGCCGCCTCGGGGGCCGCGGCGGCCGCTTCGTCCTCATCCGCCAGCAGCGCTTCCTCGTCCTCGTCCTCCTCCTCTTCCTCCTCCTCCTCTTCCTCCTCCTCCTCCTCCTCCTCGTCCCCTCCGTGGGGCCGCCCGCCCGGGCCTCCCGCCGGCCCCGCTTCCCCTGCGCAGCTCGAGGCCGCCGCGGCCGGGCCTCCCCCGCCGCCGCCGCCGCCGCCTTCCTCGGGCCCCGCCGCCAACATCTCGGCGTCCAGGGCCTCCTGCAGCCGCTGCGCCAGCTCCACCTTCAGCCCGCGGGCGTCCAGGCCGCGCCGGCCCAGCTCGGCCCGCAGCTCGGTCACCTTCAGCCGCTTCACGTCCATGGCGGGGCCGGTGTGCGGGGAGGGGGGGAAGGGGCCGCGGGGCGGGGGGGGGAAGGGAAGCGGAAGCGCGGGCGCGCTGAGGCGGCGGCGCCGAGGCCGGAACGCGAGGCCGGGCCGGGCCCTGAGGCCGCGGGGCGGGGACTGAGGGAGGGAAGGGGCGGAAGGAAGGGGGCGGAGAGGGGACGGGGTGGGGGAGAAGGGGCGCAGAGAGCGAGAGCGCGAGGCGGGGCCGCCGCCGCTGGCGCGGGGAGGGGGCGGCCGGAGCGCGGAGCGATCGCCGGGCCCGTCCCGCTCCCGCCGCCGCCGCCGCCTCAGCCGCGCCTGCGCCGCCGCCGCCCCTCAGCCGCGCCCCCCCGCGCGCCGCGCGCCGCCCCTCGCGCGCATGCGCCGCGCCTGCGCGCCTCCACCGGCCCCGCCCTCATGTACTCGCCGCGCGTGCGCCGCGCGTGCGCGCCGAGGAGCCCGCGCGCCGCGCGCAGGCGCCGTTCCCGCTCTCCCCCTCCCCCTCAGCCCCACCTACGTGCGCAACGGTCGCTGCGAGTGTGGCGGCGGGGTCGCCTCTTCCCCTCCTGCCCTCCCCGCGCGCGGCCCGCGCCGGCCGCTCCGATTTTCTGATTGGTCCCGAGCGCGCTGTTCTGCCCAGCGACGGCGAAAAGCCGCGCTCCGATTGGTGGAGGAGGGCGAAGGGGGCGCTCGCCTCGCGCGCGGTTTCCCGCCCGCCGCGCCGCCGCCATTTTGTTTCGGTGGATGGAGGGGGGAGAAGCGCGCGGCTCGCTGGTGGGAAGGGAGAGGGAAAAGGGTTAAAAGTGTGCAAAATATAAAAAAGAAACAAGATTCGTTCAGTTTGAAACTTCCGCGGGCGCGGGAGAAGCTCGGAGGCGGAGACTGGGCCGCGTTTCCCTCAGAAAACCCGCGAGCCCCGCCCCCCTCGCAGCTCCTACCTCCCCTGCCAAATTTACTTAACAAAACCTTTCAAATCCCTCACACGCTCTTTTAAACACTATTACCATTTATCCTTGTCCACATAAAACTGGGATTTCACCCAGAAAGCGCCGAAATGACGGGAGTTTAACCACCAAGAGGAAGCGCGGCGGAGGCGCCGCCATTTTGCGGCGCTGTGAGGGGACGTGAGGGAAGCGCCAGCGCCGCCAGCCCCGGGCGCCTCACGGAGCCCCGCGGGGCCATTTTGATAACGAACCGCGCGCTTTCCACCCATAAAACAACGACAAAACAAAACGATTTTAAAGTTTAAACCGTTTATAAATAAATCTGTTTTTAACCCATTGAGGACCCCGAGCGGGGTGCACCGTTCCCGGAGGCACTGCAATACCGGGACGATGCGCGGAGCGGAGGGAGCAAGCTCCGGGTCCAACTCCCGAGCCCAAAAATCCGTTTAATATGAAGTCCTCTCATCGAGGACGTATCAGATATTAAACTGATAAGAACAGATACTACACTTGATCTTAGCCAAAAGGCCGAGAAGCGATGCCGGTGGAGCTCCGCTCCCCGCAGCCGGCCCCGCTCGGCCCGCCCGCACCTCACGGTCACCCCCGCGCCGCC